GCTGGAGGGGGCTTCTACAGGATATTTGTGTGCATATGCATCTGCTGTTCTGTGCTTTCCAAATTGGAGAGGAATGCATATTGATTATGTATTGACTTATTTTTAAATTATTAAAAAACAAAACTCCCTAATTGTGCATTTACTATCTCAAACCCACTTTGCAATCAGTCATAGTATAAAAATAAGTCAACATATAGTTTCCTTCTTTCTAATAAGCAGTAGAGTAAGCAGTCTGTATGTGGACTCCCTTAGATATCGGGCAATCACAGGTTAAAGGGAAAGCACCTGTACTCAAAAGCAAGTTCAAAGGTCAAAAAGAGCTGTGTTTTGAATAGTGGAGCATCCATTTAACTCTCATTCAACCCCGTATTCAACCATTTCATTAGAGGCTCATTCCTACCCTGTGGTTTTTTAAATGGTGTTGTTTCAGGCCAGGCTTCCCCATCATGCCTCATGCCTCGTCCCTGTGAATCAATTCAGTTCAGGCCAGCCACAGTGACTTCCCCAATCTCTCGTGAAATCCAGTTTTATTGGCATTTTTTCCCTTTGCAAAGAAAGGGGTTCTTATGAGTGCCATGGGAGAGAATAAGTCAAGTCAGTCCACACAGTACCAAAATCAAAAGTGGTTTTGCTGAAAACAAACTGCCCAAAATTTTAATATCATCTACTGTGTACTATGATCAAAACAATGGATTGGCCATATTTTTTACTTATCAACTCACTGTTTAGTCCATCACTGCCCAAACTGCTTTTTAAGGTTATTTTTTAAAACATTGCCCAAATTGTTTTTATATGCCCAAACATATTACCAAAACTGCTATTTAAGATTATTTTTATCATAGGGACTGAGACTGGGTCAGCATGGAATCAGACCACCTCAGATTTTACTGTGGCTTGGCACACCACTATTATCAGGAGCAAAAGCTACAGGAAAACAAAAAATTGCTTCAGAAAGTCAGATTCCAAGCTTCCCATGTACTTGGGTGTTTCCCAGAGATGGTAAACTCAGAAATTGCTGTGCACTCATCATTTTTTATTGCAAAATTCATTAAGCTGCCATGCTATTATCATTCTATCTTGTCAAGATGATACATTACAGACTTTGTTGCAAAACTTTAACAAGCAAGAGAAAGTATACCTCTCTCCCGACCATAGCATGGGAGAGCCTCTGGGTATTTTGCTTTTGCCTTCCTATTTTTTGTATAAAGCTCAGTGTCTTTGCAAAACTCGCATCTGTCTGGCAACTCCCTTTTCTCCTTGTTTGATCATGTGGAGAGATTCCCTCCTTTTGACTCTGCTGTGTGTCATGAGCTGCTGTTAAAGAACAGTCCTCTTCTCTTTTTGCCATGTCATCTTATACATCATGGAAAGATGAGATGTTAGCCTGTAATCTGACAGACTTCTCTGCATGGTGGAAAACCTCCCCCAACGCAGCATTGAAGACCTGCATCTCATGTTCATCTTCCCCAGTTCTGTGTATTCAGTGGGCCAGACGTGTCCAGGCCTGCCAAGACATGTGAGTTTGGCTTGGTTCTGCATGTGCTTTCCTTGCCTCGCCTCTGGATTCTGTGATAAACAGAGATCCTGCCTCCCATGTGTGATGGGGTTGCCATTAGAGTGAGTCGGAATCACTAGGTAAATATGGAAAGTGAAGTCGCTTAGCTCCCAGATTTCCATGGCAACCCCCAGAACAAGTACAATATCACCAAAATTATTCTGTGGCATTCTTTTTTTAGTTGCAGTGATTTGGGTGCATACTCATGTTTTTCCGCTCCTGAGTTGTACGAAAAACAAAAATTCTACCCCCTTCACCAGTACTTTGGTTTCAAGGACATAATTAGTCCCTGTCTGAAGCACCTTACAGTCACACAAAACTACCTCCTCCTGTTCCAACAGAGTAAATTTTGATTGTGTATTACGGTATTCCTTTGTGTTTATTATTTCTCTTATAACCATCCATGGAGCTGTGGTTTATATGGTGCATGGGCCAGGCTAATGCTGCATGTATGGCTAATGCTGACGTCACAGGTCATTTTAACAGATGCTGTGTGGTCAGACTTCATGTCCCTGTCCTTGAGTAGTTTGCATCCTTAAGGACCAAGTCCACATCCAGTTGTCACTCCTTGTAGAACTATGTTCATGAAAGCATTCAGTGCATTACCAGTGCATGTTTACAATTGTTTGGGGCTTTATTTTTATCATTTCCCTGTTTCTGGATTCTTGTTTACTGATTAATACAAAGAGAAATTCTTGTTGACAGACATATTTGAGAAAGGCAAGCATTCTCACTGACTTCAACCGGCTTAGGAATACTCCTGGGTTGTGGGCATTCTTTCTCCTTTTGTCATCTAAATAATCTTGTTGATTTGACTCTGTACTGGTGGTTGTTTTTCTTTGGAAGTCCACTAGCCTATCATTTTTTTTCCTTCAGGGACACTGTTGCCATCAGCCTTTCTTGTATCTTCCGATGAGGATGCTGGAGTTGGGTTGAATCATTAGTGACTCAAGGAAGTCCAGCTCCGTCCGGTATTTAAAGGATGTGGTTAATTTTTTTTTTTTTTTTTTAAAGCTTCTTCTAGGCTACAGGTTCTTATGCTTTTCCATCAGGAGCAAGTACTCATTTGGCCATCTGACCAAAAAAATCCTATTTTGAGTGATGTTACTGAATCACTTTCTCTTTAGTTATTAATTTATTCCGAATGCTTTAGAATTTGTCTCGGTATAGTTTGGCATAACCACTGAAACATTTGATTTGCTGTTGAGTTACTCTTCACCCCTTCATTTCAGTTTATATCTTCCACCTAGAGGTTCACCGTCTTATTATCTGAGACAGCAGGCGATGAGACTTAACTACAAAACTGTAGTAGCCTTGTAGTCAGGAAGTGCCAGGTTTCTAGATTTCCTTGTCATCTAGCCCATTGAGGGACTTTAAGGATGCATGTTTAGCTATCTTGGCTGCAAAACTATGAAGTCTTAGGATAAATTTCATCATAAGAATATGCCTTTTAAGATGCATATTTGGCTGTGTTGGCTGCAAAGCTATGAAATCTTATGATAAATTTTTTATACTCCCTTTTTCTAATGGATAATAAGGGAGAAAAAAATAATATCCTGGTAATGTTTTAGAAAGACTAATATATTCTTAACAAGGTATTGTTTTTAGTTTGCTTCTCAAACTAGAGTTAATAAAACTATTCATCTCTCCTCCCCTATGAAGCAGAAAATGTCTCTAGTAAAGCCCAGAGAAGTGTTGTCTTCATTCCCCTTCTTTATATGGTAGTCTTGGGCTCCTCTTAGTCTTTCAGGAATCTTTATGTGAGTATTTTGTGCAAAGGAAAATTTAACTTATACTGATTCATACTGATAAATGGCATATCCGTTCTCTCAATGATCCCCTAATTATGTAATTTTAGGGTTGTTTTTCTTCCTACTAGGAAGTTCCCATTTGCAGGCCCTGTAGTCCTCCTACGTCTTGGCTCAATGTAACTCTTTTGGTTTCTCTTTTATTGTTGTTGTTTCGCTTGAAACATAAACTCTCAAAATGTGAATAGTTCTAAACCTCAGGAATCAATTTAATCTACTTTTTTTGAAATCTATTTAGAGTTCAGGAATCTCCCAATAGCCCCATGGGGTTTTTATCTCTTCCACGGGGCTTTAGCCAGAGCATTAAGTATTTGCCAAGATATTAGGGGTATTGGGTGTATGTGTGTGTATTTAATGTGAAACTTACTCAAACATCATTTCATAAGCATAATTTATTTTTACAAACATGAAGGGCAAATGGAAAAATATTTTTTATGACTTTACCCCCTTTATTTCCTAAAGAGAACTGAGTTCAAATGCTGACCTCTAAATTTCCATACCAGTGATTCCAGTGTCTCCTCTCAGGGATATGGTATACTTCTTGCTCATTTCAAAAAGGTTCAGTGAATATTAACCCAAATACCATATTTCATGACAAGTTAATCAATAGCCAGAAACATCAGTTGATTTCAATACGGTATATTTGTAGTAAATGGGGGATGAGAATGACATTCCAAGTCTATAATATTTTGTTACAGTAATGGTGCCTGTACTATTTAACTAAATCATTCCCAAAAATGTTTTTTCAATGCATGGTCCCAAGTTTTTAAAGATGGGAAGGAACAGAAAATTCTCTTCTTTGAGCAGTATTCTAAAGTTTACAAAATACATTCCTGGATATGATTCCTCTTGATCCTCATGACCGCTCCCCGAGCTGTGTGAGACTGTTCTCATTCTCCCTGTTTTATAGATTTATTAACCATAAATCTGAAGCTAAGTGGAAATTGCCTGAGGTCATACAGCCAGTCAGGGGTGGAGTCTCGAAGAAAACTCAGATTTTCTCTTTCTGGACTTAGTAATATTCTCCAAGCAGATTACGCAGCCTATTACAGATCTATTTATCAAAGAATTAACTTGAAGAACTTGAAGTTAAATATCAAGTATGTGGAGTTAGGGGAAACACAGAAGTATGTTTCTGGGGAGGGGTGAGGGATTTAGACCGGCTGAGTCATAAGGTGGTTAGTTGATGGCCAAATGGTAGATATGCTATGGTGAGGTGCTATAGAATTGGAGGTGGGACATGGCCTGGTCAGTTAGGATAATACCAGAGGCAGGAGTTTTAGAATAAAAGGTGAGTGTAACAGAAGCCAAGGGGATCTGGATTGCAAGGGATCTAAGAAGGCTGCTCTGTATTCTGACCACCTGCCAATCAAAAGAAGACACAATTTACAGTGCAGTGTAGGGACACCCTTAGGAAAAAGCCTTGCTCATATTAAAGGGAGATATACCCTGTCAAAATGAGGAGGGGCTTTTGCTTTAAAGTTGCAAGTCACCTATTTCTCTTTGACTCTTTTTTTCCTACTTTTAATTCTTATTCTTTCCTATGTCATTTTTAAAGCTTCATTGGTACCAGAGATCTCAATCCAATCTCTTTATTTGTAAATTTTTTTGTACTAACCCTTTGCAATAACATTAATATGGGGCTTCTGGCATTTTTTCCCCTAGAGGAACAAAGGAACAGCATCATCAACTCCAGTTTGGAATCTGTCTCATCAAATGCAAACAGCATCCTTAATTCCAGCAGCAGCCTACAGCCCAACATGAACTCCAGTGACCCAGACTTGGATGTGGTCAAACCCACCCGGCCCAACTCACTGTAAGTATGATGTCCAACTGCCTACCACACAAGGGCCTTGGTCACCCATTCTGCCCAAAATTTGCTCTCTGGCTCCATCTGACTTTGGCCTGTTTTCCTATGAACATGATTTAAACCCTGTCCCTAAACTTGGCGCTTGGCTGGTTTGTTGTGGGTTTTTTAAGCATCATCATCTCAAAGGGGAGTCATTATTCTTAACATACTGCTTCTTAGCCTTGGTGATCTTTGATTTACTGTCCTGCTGAGATGGCTTTGGTGATAGCTATTGCTTGTGCTGGCTGCTAGGCATGAAAAGCAATTTCTTTTAGTTTTACAAACATCTAGGGACTATAGTAGCTCAGTGGATCAGTAGCCAAGTCTGTTTTACTCATTCATGTTGCCCTGGTTTCCCTTCCCGCTGACTGTTTTGGAAATGTTCAGTGCTACCTTTGTGTCCACTTCCATAAAGAAGAGCCCCCAATAGCTGTTTGTGTCTTCACATCTCAAACCTTAGCATGACTGAGTTGTCTTACCAGAGACTATAAAAGAGAAGAAATCTTTTTGCTTCATTTTTGGGCATTGAGCACCCATAGCCAAGACAGGCAGTTTTAGGGCTGGTTGTCTAGTCCCTCACAGAAACTAGATCTATTCTACTACGGCCAAAAAGTTCCCCTTTGTGGTTTCATCCCACATTGCTTAGCATGCGTATTCAGACCACCCCATAAATCTTGTCAACTAGAACTTTTGCAGGAAGAATGTGAGGCAGCTAGATTCTCAGGCTGTAGTTGTACAAGATGCAGGAAAAACAGAGTTGACTTTGCCTTTTTCTAGTGAAAATAGTTTGAGGTTCAGCCACAAATTGTCTTCAGGGAAGTTGTTTCACTTGGTGAGACACCATCATGAGGGTGAGAGTCTAGGCTGTCAGCCCCTCTGCATGCCATGGTGCATGATAGTACCCTGTCATCCTATCTCTTTAATGTGTTTACAACTCTGATAAACGGGTCCAATGATTTTTGCCATAAGAGACTGTATTAGTCTGTTTTTGTGTTGCTATAACAGAATACCTGAAATTGGATAATTTATAAAGAGATATATTTGGCTCATGATTCTGGGACAGCTGCATCTGGTGCAGGTCTGAGGCTTCTTCTACTCATGGTGGAAAGCAGGCAGCCAGCCAGCGCAAGGAGATCACATGGTGAGAGGAAGCAATGTGGGGGGGGGGGGAAGTGACAGGGTCCTTTTAACAACCAGCTCTCTCAGACTAATAGAGTAAGAACTCACTCACTACCCCCACCCCATCGGGAGGGCATTAATCCATTCATGACCCAAACAGCTCCCAACACTGGCACATTGGGGATTGGATTTCAGCATGGGCTTTGGAAGGACAACATATCCAAACAATATCAGAGACTAAGGGATATTAAATGCTTGGGTGGTGGGGAGGATGACTCCAAATTGGATTTGAGAGGTATTGATAATGAAAATGTAACTACAGTATAAGATGGAATCTTAAAGAGAAAATTGGGTCTCTTTTTGGTTGTTGGCAGCTTTAAATCATACCAACATTTAGGAGACTTAACTACTTGTTGTTTGATAGTGTGTTTGTTCACCATGGAGTGGGCCAGTGGCTTTTGAACAAATAATTGAATTTGTTCAGCTTATGGGCAGTGAGTCTCTTCTGGTTCTCCATGGCTAAACTTGCCAGTGGAGCCCGTTGCCCTGCTGTATGGCTTTCTCAGGCTCTCCAACACCTGCTGTCCTAGCCTTTAAGGAGATTCGGGGGGGGGGGGGGTCTCCATTTGATTTAAATCTCTTTACCTAGTGGATGCTGAAATTATTTGTTGCTCAGCATGAGCAAGATTGACTTTCTAGCCCAGTTTGCTTAACATCCCCTGACTATAGCCAGCCAGTACGAACTAGTGGTCTTTAATCTCTGTTTTCGGTGGCTGGTAATGTGGACCCTGAGTCACCACTGAGTACACTGTGTACCAAGGGGTTGCTTAAGCAGCTAAGTTGAAGAAAGGGATATGTCTTTTAAATAGATCCTGGAGGAGGGGGCTGAGGAATTTTTATTTATTAGGGGTCCAGATGAGGTTCGTTTTTCATAACATACTGGGAATCACTCCACCTACTTCACACCATCCAAGGGGACTGTTCTCTACCTGGTGCAGATTTGGGGGGCTTTCCCAGAGAAGGGAGAGTGATGCCAGGAAGAGTTCTGTGTCTCTGGAGGAGGATTGGTGATAGGAGTGTGGGTGTGTTTCCAGCAAGACTGCCATCCTTCCAAGCTCAGTGGGTCTCTGATGCCTGTGAGTCTTGAGGTCGAGGAAGGCTGGGGTAGAGGGAGAAGCAGTGCCAGTGCCAGAGCTGATACCAGCATTTGCCACAGCCCCACATGAGAGCCATGTCACAGCCCCTGTAAGCTCTGCAGAAAGTTCACCAGCCATTTCTCAAACCTGAGGCAATGGGATGACATTGGGTTCCTCCCTCCCTGGTTTTTTCTACCTGGGATTTTCCCGGGAGGACCATGGATGGAAGTTAGTCAGTCCTGGCAAAGGAAAGCTAAAGTACTTTCCCTGAGTAAATTAATTCTGAGAAGTCTGTGGACACACTATGCCATGGTGATCAGGCTCAGTTGAAACCAACCAAGACCACTTGAGTCTCAATCTCAGTTCTGGACCCTTTTGTTCCCTTCATCATTGGTTAATTTCATGTGTACAGAGATTCTCAAATGGGAACACTTAATGATGCAGATGAAAATAAAAAAAAAACAAAGGCGGGGGTTACCTTTACCTTGATTATTAGTTAGACATAAGGTGGGGAAACAGTCAGCAGGCTATCTGTTCTTTTTACTTCACTCATTTTTTTTTTCACTATTTTTCATAATGAGTAAGATGATCATTATGACCATGTAGAAATCATAATGAAAGAAACATATTTGTTAGTCATGATAATATATTTTGCTGTATTGGTGGCAAATTTTTCCTGATTCTCCAAGGAGGTCAGGGCTGTCTTGTTTGTGTGCTAAATGCTAAATTGGGCATCAAAATTAGAGATGCTGCTATTCTACCTATGCCAGGGTCAAGGCAGCTGGGTTTAAATCTTTGGCAGGTCTTCAGCTAGACTCCTGAAGGACAGTTGGTAGCCAGGATCAAAGTCCAGCTAATCTGAAATTGTCAGCATGTATTACTGAACCTATTTTGTGCCCAGACCTATGCTAAGCTACCTGTAAACCAGAATAAGAGTATTCCTTTTCCATCTGAGAGATTATAGTCTAGCTAAGGAGGAAAGACAGCGGCATATGGCAATGCTAAATGGAATGGATAGGTCACATTTAGAGTTCAACAACTATTAACAATATCTGGTGAGGACACACACCAGGTCAGAGTATTGGGAAAGGTGGAATAGATGAAGTATAAGGTGAGTGTTAGGAACGATTTAGATGGGTGGATGAAGAACATTGCAGGTAAGGGCGATGAGGGAGGCAGAGATGATACAGGATGAATACATTCTACAGACATGTGAGTTAGGGTAGAGAGAGCTATAGTTCTTCCCTTACCACTACCATCAAAAAAAAAAAAAAAAAAAAACCTGAACCAGCCTTTGAAATTAGACTCTTCACATAAAAATCCAGATTTCATGCTGGAACCACTAGACATCCATATGCAAAAAAATTAATCTAGAAGATTTGGCTTCAGTAAACCCATGAGTTACTTAGTTAACAGATGATTCTCTCCAGTCCCTATCGTCTCACAACTAGCCTGCTTCACTCTTTTTAAATTTCCTGCCTGTAGGCTTGTGGTAGATTAAATATGGCCGCATAATTTTTGCAGCCCCTCTCATTAAGAGCTGAAGCCCTTGAATCTAGGCTGGCCTTCACTCTTTGACTTAATTTGTCCAGTAGAATGTGGTAGAAGTGACATCATGCGATGTCCAAGCCCAGGCCACAATGACTTGCAGCTTCCTCTCTTATCCTCTTGGAACCCAGCCACCATGTAAAGAAGACCTGTCTAGCCTCTGAAAATGAAAGACCATTAGAGAGAGAAGCCCAGCTGTCCAAGCCAAGCCCAACACCTGGGTAGCCAATCAGTTGAATGCAGCTGGGTGAGTTAGTCTGGGCAAGACCAGCTGGAATGCTGCCCAATCAACCCACAGATTCATGATAAATAATACATTGTTGTTGTAAGCCACTGAGATTGGGGTGGTTTATTACGCAGCAATAATTAACTGACACAAAGTTTATGAGTTTGTGACCTCGGACACATGGGCAAATGCCTCGGGATGGGGCTGAACTGCCTGGGTGGGATAGAAAGGTATGGAAGGTCTCACTGTAGCAGACTGCAGCATGGAGACTAGCCTCTTAATTTTCAGAATCTTCTTTGAAAGAAAATGACTCATAATTGAGATTCTAAGAAATAAGGAAACAAAACAAAACTCATAGCTAATGGCTGAGGCAAACAAGAAAGATGGCTCAAACATTGGAATGGAAAGCAGAAAACCCTAGGCATTAATCCTGGCACCAACACGGACCAGCTGATGATGCAGGTCCTGGCCCTGAATGCACCCATCGCCCACTCCCTCTGGTGGAAGAAATGGAGCTAACCCAGCTCTAAGAAGAACGGAGGTTGTTCAATGGGTGTTTACAAAGGGCTGCAAAAATAAAAGTCACTCTCTTCTTCCACAGGACCAGTAGACTTGGCATCTTGCCAGCTCCTCTCTGGGAGATACTGATTTTTAAGGAGGAAGTAAATACTGAGAAAGAAGTCAGGGGATGTCCCACCAGGGACATGACATACTGCAGTAATTCCCCCAAATTAGAAACTTCTAGGTGAATGCTTTCTTCGGACTGCTGGGGTAGGGACTGAGGGGGGTTGTTAAGACTGAAAGAAGGTTAGGAGGGCAGGCATGATTACCACAGTGGCAGAACCCAGCACTAGAGATCTCCCTGCGTAAGTGGTCCCCACCCCTAAAAAAATAACCACTCAGTAGCATCATAAATAAAACTAATTTTTCTCCTCCTT